GTGCAAAGACCTAGTGTTAGAAAATCAAAAGGGAAGAACATGCTTAACATTTCTCAAGCTGAAAGAACTAAAGAAAAAAATCAAGCCTTGACTTGAAATACTAAAGTACTTCATGGGCAAAGTAGTGAATGATGGAGAAAGCATCAAAATAAAATGGAAGTAATACACAGAGTCATTCGACCAAAAATAAATGGTTGATGTTCAACCATTTCAAGAGTTGGCATATGATGAAAAACTAATGGTACTGAAGGAAGAAATCCAAGTTACACTAAAGATACTTATGAAAAACAAGGATCCAGGAACTGAATACAAATTGAAATCTTTCAATAAACCGATGAAGCACTGGATGCGCTCACTCATCTATGCCAAGAAATTTTGAAGACAAGTAAATGGCCAGACAATTGGAACAGATCCATATTTGTGCCCATACCAAAGAAAAGTGACCCAAAGGAATGCAGAAATCATAGAATAATATCACTAATATTGCATGCAAGGAAAAAAATTTCTTAAGATAATTAAAAAAAAATTTGTAACAGTACATCATCAGAGAACTTCCAGAAATTCAAGCTGGATTCAGAAGAGGACCTGGAACTTAGGATATCACTACTGACATCAGACGTATCTTGGCTGAAAGCAGAAAACACAAGAAAAATGTTTATTTGTGATTCATTGACTATGCAAAGACTTTTGGCTGTTTGAATCCTAACAAGCTATAGATAACATTGCAAAGAATGGGTATCCAGAACACTAAATTGTTCTAATGAGGAACCTGTACCTAGATCAAGAGGCAAAAAATTGAAATAAATTCACAAGAGTCAGAACAAGGGAATATAGAATGTCTAAAATCAGGAAAACTGTACAGCAGGGTTTTATCTGTTCATGATTCTTATTTAATCTGTATGCTGAGCAAGTAATTCAAGAAACTACATTAGAGAAAAAAAAAAATGTGGCTTCAGGATTGGAGGAAGACACATTAACCTGCCATATGAAGATGATACAACCTTTCTTGCTGGATGAAAGCAGAGAATACCAGAAAGATGTTTACCTGTGCTTTATTGATTATGCAAAGGCTTTCCATTGTGTGATTCATGACAAGCTATGGACAGCATTGTGAAATATGAGTATCCGAGAAGCTGGGTTCTATGAAGAAAAATGTGGCATCAGGATTGGAGGAACACTCATTAACAACCTGCAATATGCAGATGATACAACCTTGCTTGCTGTAAATGAAAAGGACTTGGAACATTTACTGATGAAGATCAAAGAGCACAGCCTTCCATATGGATTACATCTCAATGTAAAGAAAACAAAAATCCTCACCACTGGACCAATAAACAACATTCTTTCAACAGAGAAAAGATTGAAGTTGTCAAGGACTTCATTCTTCTTGGATCAACATGGAAGCAGCAGTCAAGAAATCAAACGAAGTATCGATTAGGCAAATCTGCTGCACAAGGTCTTTTTAAAATATTGAAGAGCAAAGATGTCTCTTGAGGAGTAAGGTGTGCCTAACTCAAGCCATGGTATTTTCAATAACCTCATATGCATGCAAAAGCTGGACAGTGAATAAGGAAGACCACAGAAGAATTGACGCTTTTGCGTAATGGTGTTGGAGGAGAATATTGAAATTGCCATGGGCTGCCAAAAGAGCCAACAAATCTGTGTTGAAAGAAGTTTAGCCAGAGTGCTCCTTGGAGGCCAGAATGGCCAAACTTTGTCTCTCATACTTCGGACATATTGTCAGGAGGGACCAGTAGCTGGAGAAGGATATCATGTTTGGTAGGGTGGAGGGTCAGAGAAAAAGAGGAAGACCCCCAGCAAGATGGATTGGCAAAGTTGTAGCATCAATGGGCTCAAGCGTGGCAACAATTGTGAGGTTGGCTCAAGACCGGGCAGTGTTTTATTTCATTGTATATAGGGTTGCTATGAGTCAGTATCGACTTGATGGCACCTAACAACAACTTCGCAACCACGAAGTTCAAGCCGTTGTCTTACCCATAGCATAGACTTTTAAATGGTTTACCTGGCTATCTATTTTGCCAACATCAAACTGTATAAGTTTTCAAAATGTGAGATCATTGTCATTGCTATTCCAAATGTTCCCAATGTGGCAAAAATAAAGTCCAAATCACATGGGTTCACATGATTTAATCCCTCTTTCTGCATCCTCATTCTAGCACTCTACCTTTCACTTACTGGGATTCAATCTGACTGTCAATGGCCTTATTTCTGTTCTCAAGTTGGGTCTTGACTGGTAGTTGTTTCCATCTGAAGTACTCCGCATTCAGGCTTCATGTAGCTGGTTCCTTTTGATCAAGTCTCAACTCAAATTTACCTTTTAAGTGTCCTTTCCTTATATCCACCCCATCCCAGCCATTCTCTGTCAACTTTACCTGATGTGTTTTCATCATAACATTTATCTTTTACTGAAATAATCTTCTCAGTTATTTGACTTGTGAATATTGTTTGCTTTCTGTTGCCAGTATTCCTCAACTCCCAACCTCTTCACCAATCTTAGAGTGTAAGTTTATAGAGACAAATTTTTCTTAATTAGTTCTCAATCTATAAATTCACTTATTATCCTTGATGACTACCTCCTACGCCTGTTTCATCTTGTTAAGTGCCACCGAGTTGGTTCCGACCCACAATGACCCTGTATAGGGTTTCAAAGGAGCGGCTGGTGAGTTTGAACCACCCACCTTGTGCTTCAGACCAACCTTGCAGTTAAGTGCTTATCCCACAGTACCCTCCACACTCATGTAAATTTTTTCCCGGGGTCAGCTTACTATGAAAAGGCCTATTTGAAATAAGGATAATCTAAATGACACATTTTAATGTAATTTCATTATTTTCAAGTTATGGCACTGAGAGTTAGGCATTGGGTTACTAATAACAAGGTCAACAGTTCAAATCCACCAGCTTCTCCATGGAAGAAAGATAAGGTTGTTTGCTCCCACAAAAATTTAGTCTCAAAAGCCCTACATAGCGTTGCTATGAGTCAGACTTGGCTTGATGACAATGAGGGTTTTTTCTTTTTTTAATTTATGGTAAATTAAATGAAATTAACCCAAGTACTGAATTCTAGAATTTCTATCTTAATGACTATAATATATCCAAATTCTCCCTGGTTTGATTGCTATTAATTAAATGTTATAAGTATCTCAGTTTCCCCTAATAATCTTATTTGCATGTTCATTTGTTTACTCATTCTTTCATTTCTCTTGTTCTTAAGTGCCATTGAGTTGGTTCTGACTCATAATGACCCTGTATAGGGTTTCTAGAGGCTGGTGGATTTGAACTTATGACCTTGTGGTTAGCAGTCCAATGCTTATCCTACAGCCCCATACTCAGCTGATGGATAAATTTTAAATTTTGGAAGAGTAAATGAGGTTTTGTTCAATTTTTTATTGATAAGTGTATTTGTTGCATTTACATGGTTCACCACTGTTAGAATATATGAAGATGAGGATTAATGAAAAAGAAAAGTTTCTTTTCACTAAAACGTAAAGTTGTGTTATTGTTGTTGTGTTAAGTGTTGAGGGTTTCCAAGAAGTAGCTGGTGGGTTTGAACTGCTGACCTTGTGGGTCATGGTTCAGTGCTGATCCTACAGAAAGTTAGGAAAATCTAATATTAAAAGTTTAACTAATTTAACAATGGCTGCTTTTTAAAAAGAATTTTGTTAAGAATTTTACGTAGTGTAGTGGTTACAAATTGGGCTGCGAACCTTAAGGTCAGCAGTTTGAAACTACCAGCCATTCCACAGGAGAAAGATGTGGCTTTCTGCTCCCATAAAGATTTACAGCCTGGGAAACCCTGTGCAGGGTCACTATGAGTTGGAACTGACTCCAAGGTACTTAACAACAACAATTCTCAAAACAATACAAAAATCTTAAGGAAAGGTGTTATTATACTAGTACCATTTTACAGATGAGGAAAGTTGGGCTTAATATGTTGTCTAAGGTTTGCAGTAGAGTAACTGTTAAAATCCAAAAACAATGTCTTATTCATCTGTCCTGCTTTTAACTGCCCCAGTTTGACAGGCATGTTCTATAGGAAAAAGTTAACTTCTATACCTATAGTTTACCCTTGACAAAGGAAGGTTCTCTTATCCTGAAGTCTTAATTGACCAGGGAGCAACTGTCTAAAGGGATTTTTGTGATTTGGTTTTCTACTGCAACAAGCAAACAATTGTGATGATGAGGAGTTCTTAGCAGAAAAAGTCACTGAATTCCCAAAAGTCAACACATTCATCTTCACTTTCTCAATTTACTCCTTAGAACCACTTTCACACTTTTCAAAAATATTAACACTGTAGAATCCAGGAAACCTATTTGCAATAAAAATGAACAACAATTGAGTGAGGACACTTAACTTCTTTTGAATTAATATCTTTGAGAATCTAATGTAAAGTAGATGTAATGTAATGGACCTTATACCCTGAAAATGCATAAATATATATATATATATACTTCTCATATTTCCTTAAAACCACTGACTTTATAAGGTATTGAGCACATACAGGAAGAATTTTCCAATCTAATATTATTTAAGAGAAAGAACATTGCTCAAACCATTTTCAAAGTTGCCTTGTTACACATAATTTAGACAAAAACACATTCCTGCTGCTTCAAATCATAATTTTGAATTAAAAATAAATAAAAGGGATTCTTAATATTTGACAGCGTTCAAACCAAGACTTTAATAAGTAAAGCTTTTACACCCTGGGAGTGTGATATGTGCTATGTACAACTTGTTTCAAAGTTTAATTTGTTGGTTAAAGAATCTTTGGCATCTTTTAGCAAAAGAAAGAAAACAGAATTGTGAATGACTTTCAGTGGCAAATGGTTCCATTTATTTTTGTAACATTTCAAATTGAAAACGAATTTCATTTGTGCGATATAGAGAGTTTGTAAAGCAACCTTACTTTATTTCACATTTAAAATAGATGAACTTTCATAATTGCAATCTTTCAGAAAATAAGACTCTTAGCAGCTCTTACCTCATCAGAACCTGATCCAAATATCAGCAAGTCAAAGGGAATTGCAGCAACCATGTCAATCAGGAACCAGCCTTTGAAGTAGTGTATTGCTATTTTGGTCGGATCACTTACCACTTCTTCGTTCTGATTTACATATGTTGTTCTGAAGTTTATTAGAATATCTATGATAAACATAATATCTACAATCAAGTCTACCACATTCAAAGGGCTACATGAATAGCCACATTCTCGTCTTTTCTGTTCTTCTCTGTCATTGAGGAGAAAAGCTGCAGAATAGGGGGTGAATATAGCAGTGTATATGACCAATAGCAGAATAAGCCAATCCCAGACTGCCTTGAAAGGGCTGTAGTGCAATATCGTAAACTTGTTGATGCGTGGCGTCTGTAGTTTATATTCTGGCAGGACATCTGCTCCTAAAGAGAGAACCTAAGTATAAAAAAAAAAAGAAGACCATATGCTACATACATTTTTTTAATTTTTTTTTAGGTTTGTTAGATTAAATAATGACATTAGGGTAATTATGCAGCAAAATTTACTAAAAAGAATTCACGCAGTTTTGAAGTATACATGAAAAGTACCCATACATTTAAGGGGACCCGTATAAATCTCTGGACTCCTGGCGTGGCGCTGTAAGATCAGCATTGTGAATCACAAGCTCGGCAACCCACCAGCTGCTTCTTAGAAACCCTATACAAGGTTGTTAAGAGTCAAAACCCACTCGATGGAATTTAACAACAACATAATCAATCTCTATATGCAATATATTTGGCCCACACAAACATCATTGATTGTTGCTGTTTGTGTTAAGTGCCGTCGAGTTAGTTCTGACTCATAGCGGCCCTGTAGGGTTTCCAACGAGCAGCTGGTGAGCTTGAACTACCACTTTGAGGTTCAAACCGACCTTGCAGTCCAGCGCATTAACTCACAATGCTACACCAGGACTCTTCATTGAAATACAATGACTACTGTCTTGTAGGTGCTGAGGACTAGTTATTTGTTCCTGGCCAGGCTGCTGAAGTATTTATGTGACAGGGAGCTCAGACTTTATCATTTAAGGTCAGCGTTCCTCACACTTAAACAGCGCATATGCTCCCTTTAAACTACCCTAGTGCTGACTTGTTAATACTTGTTGATGTTATTTATAGTGTTAGTTAAATATACACAGATAAAAGCTAGACTGAAACTTGTTTTGCTTATAATAAATAATGTTGTTAAGTGCCATTGAATCAGCCCTGACTCATAGCGATTCTGTATAGGGTTTCTAACATGTATCGGAATTTATTATCAAATAATAAATTAATAAGTAATAAACTTAATAAGTTACAAAAATACACTTATATATGCATATGAGGAAGGCTTCAAAAGTATTGTGGAAAATTTCATTATCATTAAAATTTTGTAGCTCCTTTGTCTTTCCATAGGGCTTGACCACTCCTTTCCTTAGGGTTTACCCTGTGACCTGAATTTTCAATAGAATAGTAAGATTTTTCATGTGGAAGCTCAGTACTTCCAAGAAATCAGTGAAAACTTTTAGTTCTCTTAAAGTTAAATTTTAGAACTGGCACAGCATTGCTTTGTTGTTGTTAAGTACCGTTGAGTTGATTCCGACCCATAGCGACCCTGTATAGGGTTTCGAAGGAGCTGCTGGGGAGCTTGTATATTGGCCAAAGCAGTTCAGAGCAGCCAAGATTAATTAAAAAAAAAAAAAAAAAAAGAATCAGAAATACTCTTCATATCTTAATGAGGAAAGGATGAAATCAGTTGTGGTCCTCTTAGAGATAAGCTATCAGAGGAATTATTGACAGTTACCATTTTCAAGTATGATAATGATACTGTAAATTAAACATTTTCAAAAATGGCCCTTATCGTCTAAGGCTACATAGTGAAAATTGTGTGAAACGTGGGTTTTGCCTTGATATAACCCCGAGTTTGGGGATCAGGGGGAGGAGGTTATATGTCACAACCTTAACTGCATATTGGTAATAATTGAAATTGGGTGAAGGGTAAATTTATTTCTTGTAATATATTTAGACTTTGTCACAATGAAAAGTTAAAAAACGATTCTCCAATCTCAGTCTAGAATGTCTAAGTTATTTAAGGAGATAAAAATGACTACTTGATAGGATAGAAACAACAACAAAACTCAACCTTCATCTACAATCATCGCAGCGACTCTCTCTGATTGGAATTGACTTAGCTCCTGTCTACAAAGCACAATGTTTCTTTTCTCTCTGTACATCTAATTAATATCATGTAAAACTCCATTCTGACACATAAACTGTACACAAACCTAAGTTTATCCAGGCTTGAACCGTTTACCATTACATTTTCATGAAATTTATGGCTAGGACAAATCACATTACAAAAGATTGTTGAAGGATGCACTAAGTCTGCAGATGTCGATTCCTCTGAGTATATTTAGCTGAATTGCCTCATCAGATTTGGCCTTGGATTGAAATACTTTTACTTTGTTAGACTTTCATATTAAAATTTCGATTTCATTTTGCATTGATGAAAGAAGTATATTTTGCATTTTCCCCACCAAACAACCACTAAAAGCAATGTTGTGTTGTTTAAAGTCTTTTCTGTAAAGACTGACATTATACCTTTCTTTGAGAATTCATTTCTAGAAAAAAATTAATAGTTTTTGAAGAACTAAAGGGATTTTTCTTATGCTTTGCTTTTTGAAACACTGACAAGAGTGAGTTCATTAGTCCTAATTTTTTTTTTTTTCCTTGAAGGAAACAATATTAGTTTTGCATTTCAGGAAACATTTCTATTTTCACTTACATTATTTTAATTGTTCATATAATTTAATCATGCCCATGCTTTGGAAATGTACTAAGGTAAGTCAAAAAGTACAGCTACAAAATCATAGAAACTTTTAGTAAGCAAAAATATTGCAATGTGAAGCTATTGTTTCTCAACATATCCTCCATCTAGGTCTTACACTTAAAGAAGTATTTCCATCTTTCTAACCCTTCCAATTTGGACTTCTGGTGTGGCACTGTGGGTCAGCACTGGACTGTGAACCACAAGGTTGGCAGTTCAAACCCACCAGCTGCTCTGGGAAACCCTATTCAGGCTCGCTATAAATCAGAACTAACTTGATGGCACTTAACAATAATCCTTCCCTTGGCGTTCTGGTGTGGTGACGTAGGATAAGTACTCAACTGCTAATCACAAGATTAAACCAATCAGTCAATCCTTGTTAATCTTATACAGGGTTGCTATGAGTTGGAACCAACTAAATGGTACTTAACAACAACCACAATAAGCCTTCCCTTAAGAATTTTGTATATTATGATTTACACTATGTCAAAATGGCAGTTTTGGCATCACTGTGGGATTCTAACTGTATTCCTTAAAAAAAAATTTTTTTTTTTTCATTCTGGGAGCAAAAGTCTGTAGAGGCAAGATCAAGGCTGTATGTTGAATGGAGTAAGGTTTTCAAATTGAATTATTGTAGGGCAGCCTATGTTACCCTTGAAGAATGAGAAAGATCATTTGATGGAAATAATTTTTTGGTGCAACTTTCCTGCCTGTTTCTCACCAATTTTGTTTTCAAGTTTCTTAAAACTTCTTCATACTCTGTCCCTGTGATTGTTCTGTATCCTTTGAGCAGGTCTATCAAGATCATCCCTTTAGGATCCCCCAAACAGTTGCCATTTCCTTCTGAGTTGATTTCTCTGCCATGAATTTAACTGACTCGGCATATCCCACTGTTCTGATTGGTCCTAACACTTGGACTCATATTGGTAAATCAGATTTATCTCTGGTTATGATTCATTTCATAAAGTCATCAGCTTTGATGTTGCTCAAAATACTTACAGAAAGATTAGCTCTTTGTGCTAGCTAAGTTTTGTGCAACAATTCTTTTAGTATCCTTTCGTTTTATGGAAGGCATCCTACCAAGAGTTGATATTCTTAAGTGCCATCAAGTCATTTTCAACTCAGAGCACCCTGTATAGGGTTTCTGAGGAACGGCTGGTAGGTTTGAACTACTGACCTTGAAGTTAGCAGTCCAGTGCTTGTCCTACAGCACCACACCAAGATTCTGAACAAGACTTGTTGCTGTTATGTGCTGTCGACTGTTTTGACTTATAGCGACCCTGTATAGGGTTTCCAAGGAGCAGGTGGTGGGTTTGAACCATTGACCTTGAGGTTGGCAGTACAGTGCTTATCCTACAGCACCACACCAGGCCTCCTGGAACAAGACTGAGACACATATGTTACTGAGAACTTGTCTGCAGTCATCCACTGATCAGTGAGACATGTTTAAACAGTTTCTGTTGAGAATAAAACCCATGTATGTATGAAGTGGAACCCTAGTAGCAATATTTTTGGACTTATCCTCATATTGATGGAAATGGAATACTAAGTAGGTAAAAATTTGTTTAAACCACATTAATCAGATTCTAAACAGCCAGTGATCAAAAAGAAAGAAAGCTGTTGCAAAGTCCACTGCATTCCCTTAAGAGAGCCAACTTCTCCCACACATCTAAGAAATAACATACTTTTGGAAGATAAAACATAATTAATTGAACTATTATAAAGATTTTCTGTTAAGAGAGAAAGAAAAACAAAAGAACAACAACAACAAAAAAAAACCCTCACTGTTTAAAAAAGAGAGACTCCATAATCTTCAGTACATTTCTATTTTCTTGTTCCTCAAACCACTAATTAAACATACAGTTTAATATAGCCTAAAATATGGTTTTCTTTACCAAATACAGTTATTCTTCTCACTAGCACATTGCTATTTGTTTAACTTCTAACAGTTAAGTCTTACATTAAACTAAAATCTTTATACGAAACGGCACTATTTACTCAATGAAGATCTACTGTGAAAAAATTGTGCGAACACCAGGATTAATAACTACTCTTCTCTTTTGAAAAGTGCAATAGGGAATGATTAAGCCTTCCAAAAGATTATACAGTACTTTTGGCAGCCATTAAACACCATGCTGAGGTGTTGGTAGAGACTGTTCATCTGTTATTTATCCTTTACTTGGGACTTGCACTTAACTAATAGGCTAGCTGTATTTTTATCTATCAGAAAGAGTTGTTGTTGTTAAGTGCCGTCAAGTCGATTCCGACCTATAGTGACCCTGTATAGGGTTTCCAAGGAGCAGCTGGAGAGCTTGAACCACAAACTTTGCAGTTCAAACGACTTTGCTGTTTGACACATTAACCCAGAGTACCACACCAGGACTCCAGAAAGAGTAGTCAGTAACCAATGAATTAGATAGATTATAGCATCAGGAAAGTTTAAACTCCTCTGGCTTTTCAGAAAATGCTTTGAGAAATACAATAAAAATTGAGTAATTATCATTGAATCTAGCAGTCCTACACAATGAATAAAATCTGTCCCACAGGATTTTTTACAGTAAATCAAATATTAAAATTGGATAATAGTAAAATAA